AAACGTGAGAAGCCTTGTATCTGTGTGGATGGCAGGGCCACCTAAGCAGGGAAAACTGTTGGAGTAGGTAAAGTGAAATCTCTTAGTGTGTCTCTTCCAACTGACTGTGGGTAATTAGTTGGAAATGACATTAACCTGAGCTTAATTGTAATTTTGCATGGTAACAATATACCAGCTGTTCACTGTATTCTTTCCTGGTGGTGCGATTTAATTATTTCTTGCTGTCTTTTAAGCTCTAATTTTCTGTTGTGTTTTCTTTTAACCCCTCCTTGCTGCCATGTCCATAGCCCCCGTGGTTTAGCAGTACTGTCATTTCTGCTGTTTTGGTGCCCATTCGGTGCTGAGGGCTTGGGACACTTACGGTTTTGCTGGTCAGTTGGCTTTTTAAAAGGCTACATTGGAAAGTTACCAAGATGAACATGGGTGATTGCAAACCTTGTTGTGTTTTGGGTTCCTCCAAAAGGTTTTAGCTTATGATATAAATAATACGGATAATTCCAGGCCTATCAAATGTGCTCAAAATATCAAGTGAACAGCAGAAAGAGAAGTTAATTACTGAACAGTGATTGCTCTGATACAACCAATTATTGGCTCATTAAATGTTTATTACCTTTTATATGCTCCTTTCCCCCGTAAGGGCAGTTTCTTTTTTAAGTCATTAAAACAGAAATGGGATTTACAAAAAAATTCTGCTTAAAAAATTTCCACAAGACTGAAGTATCAAAAAGGTCTTGTGTGATCTGACAGCTGAATAGCCTGTTTTCCTTTGGTCTGTTGAATTAGTAATTAATGAAATGTATTGCCTGAGCAGAGAAAATAAGATTAGTTTTGCTTAGAAAGAAAACAAAAGCAAAACATTAACCCCTAAATGCAGGTTAATATTAAAGTGCAATATAAGAAGTATAAAACGAGTAGAACTCCTTGAATTCTCTGTGGTAACACTCATTTAATTAATTCATTCATCCCGTTCTTGAGCACCAACATTATGTTTAGAGGGACTGGGGTTATGTAAATACAGAAGGGGCAAGGGGCCCTGTCCTCTTAAGGATTCTGGGTTAGCAGAGCAGTTAAACCAGATGCTTTAGTAACCATTGCTGAAATTTCAAAGCAGTAAGGTTAATGGGCACAGGTACATTTCTGTGGGGCAGGGGTGGTGGTTATGAAGAGAGAACTTACTTTTGGAGGCCGAGGTATCCTGTGGATTAAGAGCAGGGAGAGGGTGGTTATGAAGAGAAATCTTGCTCTTGGAGGTCGTGTTGTCCTGTGACTTAACAGCAGGTTCTCTGGAGCCCCATCATATCCCAGCCTTGCCACTTACCAGCTTTGTGTCCTTTTGCCTCAGTTTCCTTATCTGTAAAAGGGAAAAACAGTAACAGGGTTGTTGTGAGGATTAAATGAGTTATTAAGTGCTAAGACAGTGTCTAGCACATATTGAACATCTTAGGTGGTGGTGTCATTTTTGTGGGATAATGCAACAGAGAATTCTTTCTTAGGGAAAATGGTAATTTAATTGGATGCTGAGGAACGGAAAGATGTTTCAGGCATTTCTTGTATTGTCATGTGTAACCACAGACTTAATTTATAATGCCTACAGTAATGTGTGCTTATGTAGCACCATTGTCAAAAGATTACAAAGGGCATTTACAACTGTTTATTCTCAGAACAGCCTTCTGAAGTAAGAAGACTGTTTATGCACATTCTGCTGAGGTGTGAAATGCTGCAAAGAGCACGGCAAGCCAGTGACTGTTCTTTAATTGAGGTGTGCATGGAGCCTGGGTTTATTATGGGTAAATTAGATCAGTGGAGAGAGGGAAATTTTTATTTTACTCTTTTTAAAACTTTAATTCATAGTTTAAAAAACTTGTTTAGGGGGACAACTGTGTTGTGGTAAATGAATTATAAAGATGTTTTCTTTAGTCTTTAACAATAGTGAAACTTGTATGTTTCTGAAAGTACCAGATCACAGACAGTTGAATTTAGAGGAAGTTTATAATTACAGTGATAATAATGAATATTTATTGAGCACTTACTGTGTTCCAGGCACTATTACTAACTGTCATAACTCTGAGGTTGTCACTCTTAATTATCCCCAATTTACAGATGAGGTACTGAAATGACCAGTCATCTCCCTGAAGTCATGCTGCAGTGTAGATTTGAGGCCCAAGCTCTTACTCATGTTTGCTTTCAGTTGTATAAACCATTTCATTTTGTTTTGTATGTTTTACAACAGCCCTTTGACAAAGTGTATTAGCTCCATGTTTTAGGGAGAGAGGGAAATGGTATATGAGAAGCTAATGGTGCATTATGGTGAGCTTAGTTTGAACTGAAAATTTGGAGATGGCTATTTGATGCTCTTGCATTATTCTAAGCAAGGCACTTTACTTCTGGGCCTAAAATGAGATGATACCCTGTTCCATGGACTCACACAGGGTTAGAGTTTGGAGGAAAACTGGAGTCTGTACAACTCTTTGAGTCCAAGTAATTTTTGTGTAGTTTGTACTTAGACATATAGAGATCTTGGACCCACCACTTACAGATGTTTCACCTTACCTAACTTGTCTGAACATATTTTATTGTTTGTAACATGACATTCTAGTTCTAACTCTCCTTAGGTAATATAATAATATTGTAAGGTAATAGTATACCTACTGTCAATGTACATTAGGTAAGTGGAATTCTTCTTAATTGGTATAAAACCAGAAGTCACACAGGAAGCTGGGCCGGGGCTGGAACTCCAGCCTTTTGACTCCCCTCGGTCCTAGTTCCTAGTTCTCTCTAGCATACATGCCATGTGGTTGGGGATAAGGATGATGCTATCATAATGAGATGTTCTCTGACTTACTGTAAATTACCGTCTTGGTTTTTTCTCTGGACTCATAAGGTTGTCATCTGCATGAAATGTAGTGACTCCAGTAAGGAATCTGTTGTTTTCATGAAGTAGGGCCATGGGTAGTAGACTGTGAAGCAACACAGGGCAGGGGACCTGCTGTCTCCAGTTTATACTGTGCAGGCAGCTGGGGTACCTGGCACATAGTCCAGGATCCTAGCATCATTTATTGTGTGAAGGAAGGAAGGACTGAACAGTCTCACTGAGCTGTAGAAAATAGAAATGAGAAGGGGAACAGGATTTTAAAAATTTCACTTTTGTAGGAGAGAGGAAATTGAGGCACCTGATCAGGCAGGTTAAGGCTAGTCTCTTAATCACCAGATCCTACAAATTGGATATAATTTATACCCTTGAAGGTGTTGCATGGCAGTCCCCTTCTGTTAAGAATATATTTGTATTGTGGAACAAAATTTTATGCAGGTCTAAAATTTCTTCTAAATTAGAGCTTATTTATTCCTATTTTGTGGTTTGAGTCTGTGGAGTCAAAACTTGTCAGGAAGGTTTAGCAAAACTGTGCTTCTCATGATGTGGAGATCTCACTGGCAGCTGTGCTAAATAAACCCCTTGCTGTAAACTAGCCACGAGTAAACGTCGGGTTGTGAATCATAGCATGACCTTTCAGGGAAAACAAAACAAACAAACCACCAAACACACTAATCAGACTTTTTTTAGTATCAGGATTGTAAACTCTAACACTTACCAGTTTGTCAGGCCCACTTGGAGCAGTTGAGACAACTTCCTTTCTCTGCTTCTGTTTGTGTAACACACGGATGTTAACAGCATATTAGGGGGAAAAATTAATAAGGCTTTTCTTCCACTGAGTTAAGGTACATCCATGGTTTCCTAATCATCATGGAACTTTATACAAATACAGATTACTGAGAGTCATTCAAGACCTATTGAATCTGAGTCTCTCAGAGGTTGGGACCTAGGAATCTCTTCTGAAGAGCACTCAGAGTGATTATATGATTAATCAGATTTGGAAACCACTGAGAGAACTATGCTATTGTATTTTTCATCCATCCATCTGTTCTTACCCATTTATCCATGTCTTGAGTAGATGAGAATTGGTTATTCATGAAGCAGTGGTTCTTTTAAGAAATGAACATAGAAACCAGAATTAGAACATAATCCCTGCCCCATGGGGTTCAGAGTCTGGCTTAAAAGTTTTTAACTTCGGGTTGAGCTTTAAAGGATTCACAAATGTCCCAAAAGTCATGGGCAGAAGATTTTGTGTACACACGTTTTTCTAGCTTTCATCAGATTCTCTAAGGGGTCAGTGACCCATAAAAGGTTAAGAACCAAGGTCTAGCGCTTGTATAGCTGTTCTAAAAACAGTGGCAGAGGGCAGTGTTTCTTTTGCCACCTACGATGTTTTTGACCTTTTGAGAGTCAATAGCAGTTTGAGAATTGCACCTGTTTTCTGCCCCATTTAAAATGTTTAAAAAGAAGAGAAAACACTACAACACCTGGGTGGTGGTCAGAACAAGACAAAGGGATACAGAGAGTAGCTATTTGGTGAACTGCCTCAGATTTAATGTCAAGGAGTTGCTGACAGTAAAACAGTCCACTGGTCAGTCTGATGGAAGAACCTTTTTAACCAGGATAGCATAGGCAAGGTCCACTCCAGTTTTCTTACAGTATGTAATTAGCTGAATTATAGATTACAGTTTTCACCCCATGGATATGCATAAAAACTAATTGTCTTATTTTTGTTGCATTCAATCCCCAGCATGTCCATTGAATTGCTTAATTCCAAAATAATTTTACCAGCTGTACTGCTGGCTCATCCTTCCTTAGCTCCTAAAATCCCCAAGTAACACTTCGTAACAATTAAATATTAGGTCCATCTTGAACTGCTGCAGAAGTCTTACTTAGCAAAATGCTAGAACCTCTTATTTGTACTATTCTTATCCCTAAGGATAACTTTGTAATTCAATTTTTTAAACATTTGTTTGTTTGGGGAGGGGAGGTAGTTAGGTTTATTTATTTTTATTTTATTTACTTAATTTTTAATGGAGGTACTGGGGTTTGAACCCAGGACCTGTTGAATAGTAAGCACGTGCTCTACCACTGAGCTATTCCCACCCCCGTAATTCAGTTTTTTCTTTTTTTAAATATGGAACACTTGATGTATTTGCATGTCATCTTTGCGCAAGGGTCATGCTAGTGTTGTCTATATTGTTCCAATTTTAGTATATGTGCTGCCGAAGTGAACACCCTTTAATTCAATTTTAATTAAGGTTCTTCCCTTCTCTTTTTGTGACTTTTTATGTTTCTTTGGGGAGCAAAAATTCTTCCAGTATTGCAGCTCTGATGATGCTACATTTTAGGGTTGGATAGTTTTGGAAGACGAGGGCAGTCAATGGAATTAAATATTAATGGGTAAAATTCCATATCCATTTATTTGGATATTGTTCTTTTGGGGCCAGGAGGGAGTTAGAGGCCTACTTTATTGTCACTAAAGTCTTACAAAGTCTTTTTAGGCTTTTCAAATGTCTGTATCACTTATTTTGAAATTTTATATATACTATATGCTACTTTGCATTATTCTTAAAAAATAGTGACTAAGTAGATTTTAACTTACTGGGTGGTGATTATATGTTCTAGGTGTTTACAGTCTTGCCATTATTTAGCATACTGAGTACATAATAGACACTCAGTAAATATTTGATTAATTTGATGGATTGATTACCTTTGAGTCTTGGATCCCCAAGCGACCAGAAGTAAATCTGGAATTAGAACTCAATACTTGCTTTGAAAGGTAGGAATGTAAAAATGGATTGTCAGGTCTATCCTTTAGGCTTATTTTATACTCTATTATTATTACTTTTTATGTTCCTGTACCCCTGAACCAGTTCATATTCTGTAGCTCTTTAAAATCTGAAATATGTAGAATTTCACAGTTATAAAGAAAAATTTGTGGTAGAACCACAACACTTAATTTTCATTTAAATATTAAATGAAATGAAACTTCAGAGAGGTTTTTTTTTTTGATTAGTTGTTGCTTTTAAAAAGAAAGAACTCACCACAAACTTGATCACTAAAAAATACCTGCTAATCAAATAGGTATCACCCCTAACCTATCCTAATCAAATACAATCTTATCAGCTGTATTTGGGTAGAGAGAATATTGAAGGCTTTTAATGAGTGGTTGACTGTTGTGAGTTACCTCAAAAATTGGGATTCTGAGGGAGAGGGATTAGGGCTTGAAGGGGCTTATGGCAAACTGTACTAAGTGAGAAGTGAATCTGGGAATGTTTCTCTTGTAGAAGAGGCAACTCAGGGTTATACATGCTGGCTACATGAAAGTATTTACAGGGTTGATTTCAGGAAGAGGGATTTAGAGCCAAGTGGTCATTCTCACACCCATTGGAGGCACAATTTGGCATTCTGTATGTAGAGAATAGATTTCTAATGCTCTCAGGGTCTTGAATTCAATCATTGAAGGCATTCAAGACAGGCTCACTTATCATTCCCCTGGATTATCGTAGTGGGGGGTTAGCACCAGGAATTAGTGACCTTTGAGGCCTCCCCTTCCCAAAGAGACTATAATTATATGATTTTCTAGGCGAAGTGTTCTGAATAAATGTAGACATGGTTCAAAGTCCAGGTCTGTTCCTTGTAAATTCTTTTCCTTTTTAAAGAACTTGGTTTTAGAGGCTGTTTACTTAGTATTTAATCTCATGGTCATCATGTGTATTGAATTGGAACAAAACCAAGTTTATCTAGTCCCTGTATCTAGGTCTCTTCTCATAGTCTGAGCTCTTAACGGTAAGGTTATTTAAAAGTAGCATCTTGGCATTTTCCTTAGCGCCTGTGTGTTTGCAAATCAAAATGTGAATTAAGTTCAGTCATTTGGAATATGTAGGTTTTCATTTCAAGTCACTTAAGTGACATCTTTAAAAAAGATGGCCATGCTTTACTTACCATAGGGCTCCCCTAACTTTTTCCTTAAAAAAAAGCCAGTTTTGAGTCTGAAAAGGTATTTTGTGATGGCTGAAAATATGCCTGAGAGTAATACTATGGTCTCTCATTCACGACAGTTAGTCCTAGACTGGTGAGGCATCATTATAGTAAATGGGTATTTTGTAAAAAAAATGGCTTTTGGGGAAGAGCAGAGGGTGGAGGTGTGCAGGTGGTGGTAGTCCTACCAGGAAAGCTGAAATGAGTTCTTCAGCCCTGAAGTACCAGAGGGCACTGTAGATTAATGTTCTGGCCCTAATTCAGTATCCCGTCTCTTTAGACACTTGGCTCTGATTCCTTCGTCTCAGAACTGAAGTCTTAAGGATTAAGAGGAGAGAGAATGGAAATGCATCATTTTCTCTGCCAAAGGAGGTACTTAAACTGGGAAAGGAGGAGGGGAAGTTAACAAATCAAACCTTGGCAGGGAAATCTGTCATGAATCAGCAATGACTTGGAAAGCCTCTGTTACTGTATTTTACAAAACCAAACATTTGCCACTACCAACATTTGTCTCTTACTTACCTTTAGGATCAGCTTCAGGTTGCTCTATGGAGGGAATGAATACTTTTTTGCCCATTTTGACAACATTAGGTAATTAATTTACAACTAGCTCAGTCAGACTCTGGCCCATACAGTGTGTGCGTGGCCTTTTAAAGAGCCTTTGTTTTGACGCTAATTGAACTGGTTGTAGCAGAGACAGCCAAACAATTTACATTTATCTTTGGCAGGACACAAGGGCTCTCCCTTGGTATAGACAGCTGCATATTCTTTTCCTTCTATCAAGAGTGATACTAAAATACTGTGTGCTTATTTTAATTTTCTAATTTAGAAAACTTTGAAAATGACAAAAGCCACATATATTATTGTAGACAAATTGAAAGATTTAGATAGATAAACAGGAAAGAAAATATCAATCACACAATCTTATTGCCACCAACAGAATCATTTATAACCTGGTATTTGTCTTTCTATACTTTACTCCCTTATAAGGGAATGCATGCATCGGTTTATATATAAATTTTTTATGTGTTCTGTTATAAATATGGGACTACACCATAGAAATTGAATTGTAATACACTTTTTTTCTACTTAATAAGTTGGAAACGCCTTGTCATTTCATAAAACATTGTTGTACAACATTTTAAATGGCTGCATGGCAGTCCATTGTGTGTATATACCAAAACATATGCAGCCAATCTATTATTGGACACTTAAGGCCATTTCAGGTTTTTGATATTATAACCAGCATTGTGATGTATATTCTTCTTACTACATCTTTGTTAAGTTCTTTAATTATTTGCAGCAGATAAATTCCTAGATACTGAGCTACTTGGGCAGGGGCTTATGTGTTTTAAAAAATTTTTGACACATACTGTCGAATTGTACTTCTTAAAGGTTGCACCATTTTTTCACATTCACTTGCAATTCATGAAAGCTTCATTAAGCTTATTCTTGTATTCAGGGGAACAGTATGGAAAGTATTGACTTGGAGATGGGTTAAATCCTGGTAAGTGATTTTCCTGTTGCTCCAACCCTTTAAATCTTCTAAGCCAGCTTACTTCATATAGTACAATAGAGTTTTCCTTATTTTAATAATAGTATGTTATTTTGTTTTGAAAAGGTATAGAATGTAGAAACAAGTAGCTGCTTCATTAAGACAGAGGTCGTTTGTTTTTCCTCAGTGAAGATTCTGAAACAGTATTTTTCATATGAATAAGGACCAACCTAAAGAAATAGACTAAAATCAAAACAAATGGATAGCTTTGCTCAGTATGTGAGAAATATTTATACCTCCTTGAGGTGGCAAAGCCCATGGATGTGTTGCCTGTCTAACCCATGACTAGAGGAACAGGATAAACTCTGGCATGTCCATAAAGGGTAGCCTTGTAGAAGCCATCACAATATTTTGTCTAAATTTCTGTTATAGTAACTACTGCTTTGCTCTACAGTCTCCTCATTTGTCTAAACTGCTAGGCTAGAATTCACAACAGCTGGTGATGAATCTTTATTTTCTGTATTTGCAATACCTGAATGTTGGGCATGCAGTCAGACAAATAGCAGGTACTCATTGCTGATTGAATGAATAAACGGATAGACTAGATAGACTAGATGTGCAGGAGAGTTGAAATACAAGATCTTTCCGATCATCTGGGATCCCTGAACCCCAACTTTATAGCTGAGGAAACTGACGCTTAGAAAGATTAAGTGATGTCTTGCTCAAGAGCAAGCTAATGATCCAGGCAGAAGTTGGAGTTCTCTTATCAGTGTATTTCCCAGATTCTTAATAGTACTAGGATTGTGTGTTTTCCCCAAGAGGGTACTTGGTATGATTATATTTAAAATTAGTAGTAAAATTCTCCTTTCATATATTGTACAGCTTTCCTAACTCCTCTTTTTCTTCACTAGTGAAATCAGCCTCAGTTTTGGTTAAAATTCAGCACACCCTTAGCTCACATTTCTTTCCTTTCTCTCTTTAATATTCTCACTTCTCTCAATATCATTCTCAGTAGACGTTTTAATTTACTCCCAGCAGTATTGCCATCTGGATGTCAAAATGCATTGAATTGACCTCTTATCTGAGATCCAAGTGAAGGACTCATCTGCCCCAGAGGGATTTAGCCAGGAATTGAGGCAGGTAAAGCAGTCTTTTCCCAAGGCCCAGGTGCTGCCTGGCTGCCAGCCCATACTTTGATTCACGGATGGGGTGCAGGTGTGCCTTGTTTTCCTGTTAGAAAGCAGCTTCTGAATATAGTTTCTGTTTGAAATTTTTCAGTTTGCCAGTGCAAAATAATGCCTGGAGCAAAAGCTGATTTTAGGGTAAACTGGATAAAAGGGGGATTAAAGAGTTAAAAAAAAACAGTTCTGTGTTTACATTTTTTTCATGTGACTTTAGCCTTTTCCCCATCTTAGTAAATTATTGTGGAATTTTATTAAAATCATAAGTTCTGTAAAGTAGACACTGTGTTAGTTAGACCAGCATGGGATACTGTACTCTTAGATTCCATGATATTTCATACTACATCTCTTTATTGTATGTTAAATGATAAGAAAGTATAATAAAATGTACCTTGAGAGTACTTATCTATTTTATGTCCTGTAACATTCAGTACTTGATACAAATGTAGCAGATCTTGACTCAAAAATGGAACAAAACTGGTAATAGTCCAAGAGAAGGACATCAAGCTCTTTGTTTATGGCATGAGTTTAGCAAAGTCATAGAATTTGAGACCTAAGTGGCCTTTATAATATCTAAT